ATGGCGATATGTATTCGCACGACATGATTCATGGAGAACACCACGACGTAGCATCTCAGCACCGTCAAGCACATTCTTTGATACATAGTAGGCACTCTGCAGTACAGATTGAGCTACACAAAGGGCAAAGGTGAGATCAAGCTCAATGGTTACAGTGATGCAAACATGGCTGGAGATGTGGATGACTGCAAGAGCACAACGGGTGTTTCATTTTGTTTTGGGAAACCACCATTAACATGGCATTCTCGAAAGTAGCCAGTGGTGGCACTGTCATCGTGCGAGGCCAAATACATTGCAGCCTTTACAGCCGCTTGCGAGGGCCTTTGGCTTGGAAGTCTCCTTGGAAGCTTCTACGGAAAGGTAGCGAGCATTGCCATCATCTTCATCGACAATCAATCAGTCATCCAATTGTGCAAAAATTTGATGTTTCATGGTCGGAATAAGCACATCAAAACACAGTTCCATTTCATTAGAGAGTGTGTCGAGGGCGGTGAAGTTATCGCATATAAGATTCACACTACCAATCAGCTGGCGGACATTCTAACAAAATCTCTTGGCCGGGTCAAATTCCTAGATGTGCGCTCAAAGATCGGCGTCGTCAACACTCTCGACAACTAGATTAGGGGGAGTAATGTTAGATAATCTTGTTGTTTACTAGTTTTGGTATAATCTGTCATTAGTTGCAGGTGGCAACTGTTATTAGCGTAGTGTCTGTTCTCTCTCTCGCTGTACGCGCGTTGTGTAGTTAGGTGATTCGACTCCTGCGTGGAGTTCATGCAGGAGTGAGTAAGTCGAGTACTTAGGCATGGTCTCTATGTGTTCATAATGAGCAATAAGTGTGTGTCATGCAGTCATGAAGGTGTTAGTAGTATATATATCCTTTACATAAGAAAAGTCTGCAAGTCTTACAGTGCACCACAATGAACACTGTAAGTTATTCACACAACCGTGAAACTTGACGCAACTTATAATATTATTTACATGCTAGCGAGCAAGATCCCGAGGCTCACTTGTTGTTCACTCCCGAGATTCTGTTTTGTTCCCGAGGTTCTGTTGCTCACTTGTATGTTCTCTCTCTTGTGTTGAACAGTTTGCAGTTGTGCAGTTTGTCTAACAGTTTGTTTGTGTCTTGAGTGTTCTGTGCGATGAGGTTGCAATGGGCCGTGCAAACCAACAGTTTATATTGCAGACTTGTAACAATGTGAATAACTTGGAGGAGTAGGAGATATATCCTTGAGCCTCATGAACTGTAGAAGAATCTTTGTCTCCGTATGCTACTTAGACCAAGCGTGCAAAACATCTTTGATTTACACCTTTTTCAGAGCCAAATTAACTTAGATATCATGATTGTGGATAGGTAATGATTGGATCCAATTAGCATACTCAGAAGAGACGTCCGTTTTTTGAAGACGCAATGGATCCCTCAATCTAGCCACCGCTGGACACTATCTCACTAGTTAATTTTTTGCACATGCGAGTTTAGTTATTTTTGTTATATTTCCAATCATTGTCGTCCGACTCCTGCTAAATATCTCTAATATATAAGCGTTGCCATCACACTTGAAGGGGCTTGAGGCATTGTTCTAAATTTTCACTCCCTATAGCTTGCAGTGTATACATCTAATTGGCTAGATAAACCCCCCAAAATGGGAAGACTCCATCAAACCTTACTACAAGCAAACTATTACAACAAGAAAACTCAATGAGATATCGAGCTTCTCGACCCCGATACTATGACAATAGAAAATGTCTTACATCATCTACAAACAACATGATGCTCCATCACATAACCTGAGTGTTCTTCTACTATGTTTAACATTAACTAGCGCTATTTTGAAAGTTGATACGTTGATGAATTGATTTTTCATCACTTAAAAGTATGACTCTCTCTCGTGAGAAGCCATCCTGATAGAAGAAAGAAAAATGTAAACATCATGTAGGTGAAAGCAAAGGTGTTCAAATACCATCCCCGATCAGCTTCACACAAACCCAAGCCCTGAGAGTAGAAGTGGGGTTGTACAGGAGGACTAGGAAAACATTATCCATTTAGACATGAGGTCTCTTCTTGCAGGTACTTGAAGAACTCAAATGACCGTAACACTTAGTAAAGAGTCATAGAATAAGCTTGAAGAGCCCTTGCAACCTTACCATATTCACCAGTTTGTCTTAGAATTCTACACCGTCGTAATCAAGCCGCACGTAATCATAATATGGCTCAATCGAGTCCCAGCTTGTGTTGCAATACACACTCTTCTTGCACTGTACTTATATTTCATTATCAAAATCTTGCAGATCTAGCTGCCACTCTATGATAAGAACATTATTCTCCAGTATTATATCGTGGAAGTAAGAGAAACGAAATTCAATTTAACTACTCCACGGGATCTTGCTCGCTGGCATGTAAATAATATTATAAGTTGCGTCAAGTTTCACGGTTGTGTGAATAACTTACAGTGTTCATGCAGGCTCATATGCTGCAGCGAGCTTCCCATGACAATGTTGTACACACCAAGTACTGTATAAAAGGCAGTTGCTCTACAAACTGCAGTTATCTTATAATCAAGATATGGAAACAGGTCAATGTCCAAATGCTTAAACCAGATCAATCGGTCAATCGATCATCTCAGATATCCCCGAGCACAAATCACCACTTATACATGCACGTAATTGTGTACTAAGACATTTGTATCATGTACACTTACAATACGTGTACATGTACAATGATACAAGTGCATGCATATGTGACGGTTCGTAGCATGATACAATGAAAAGTATCAGCTACCGCCCGAAACAGCCTCAGCTTCCTGAGCACTGAAGGGTGCTCAGATAGTCTTTTCGTCAGAAGATCTTTGCAATATCATCTTAGCTGAGATTCAAGCTGAACATTGTATGAGTATAAGAATTGTACAGTCCAAGTCTGCGCTCATCATTCGTTCTTGATCCCAATTTTCCCACCGTACTCTTTGTCCGTTAGTACTTTCAAGAGATTATCTGCAATCACTGTCCGTTGCTTCATGTTCAACTAAGTCATGTACTTCTTACGGTTGGACTAATAGAAAGGTTGAGTTTGAGACACGGCTCCAGTCTCACCCGAATACATAGAGCCTGAAGCAATGGCAAGTCTTGACGTCCATGTCGTAAGGTACTGTGTACAGAGCCCTGCAAGACCTGATGGGCTGCTGCTGTTATCTGACCAGCAGGGGAGGAGAAAAATGACGTACTGTACTCTGTCAACAGGAATCAAGTGACAGACTGACAGCAGACCGTTTACTTGATGCACCCTAACTATCCATTTTGTCAGATCAAAACTAGATTCACCGGTGGTCAATGATACCTTCAGATTTCAAGAATCACTCAGTCTAAACTTGCAGAGTCTGTTACGTTCATGCGTATTTTGTGGCGATGAAACAAGGCTCTATCGCTTTGACTTCGCGCTTCACGACAGCATAGTTCGTTGTCCTATCGGGAGACAATGAAGGTTTGAGGGGGACTGAATGACGTAAACCAGGATCTGGTTATTGTGTACGTCTTGCAAAATCAAGAACCCGTGGAACCCATCAAGCCTCAAGTCCGTGATTTGGGTTCCTTCGTCGTTCAACGCATGCACCATAAGTGTACTCCACGCTCGCCTGACCCGTCATCAGGACTTTAAGGGTATGATAGAGGGAAAATTCACTTGACTTGGTTGCTCTGGTCTATAAAATCGAACTCCAAGCTCCCACCACCGGACCGAGCATGAAAATGTGAGACGTCATACCCTAAGGACGGTGATGCAATCCAGGAACGTCGCCCTAGGGGCACGAATACAATCACGTGAACATTACCGACATGGCAGAACTGTAAGTACAAGGCTAAATTCATGTCCGGGGGTGATTCAACTGACTTCTAATTTCGAAAGAGAAAACATTACCAAGTAGTTGGAATCCAAAGAAGTTTTGTAGAATTCGTGACTAATTACAGCATTGAAATACTCAGGAATCCTAAAAGGGTGATATTTGAGTTGATTTAATCAATCAAAATGCTGTTATTGAAGATCCATAGACGAAACTATTTAGACCAAGATTTTCTATTGTTAAAGAACGCAATTATTCCTTTGTTCCTGAAGAAAGTGATGAAACAAATTTCTTCACTAACGGAGGACGCCTAGGCGTAAATACCAGAACTTAAGGCTGGATTGAAAATATGCTTGAGTGAGCCATATCATTGCGAAACGGTATCATATTCACCTAAAGGTCAGGTCGGGCTCAGCGTTCACTTCACGCGTGCACAAAACACCCTCTTCACTTCAACGTCGGTGAAGTGGCCTAGTTGACATAGAACATTCGTGAGATTGAAAACTTAAAAGGGGGAATGTGGGGGCTTGCCGGGGGAGCCGTGCATACAATTTATCTTACTAAATGAGAAAGACTCTTATTTCATATCCAAGTATCACATCAACGTCCCAAATGATGTAAAAAGCAGTACATCCTATTTAATTCGTGTAATCTGTTAAAAGAAAGTGCTCTCAGTTCAAGAGAACATCGCTCTCAAAGTACATTCACTGCCTGGAACTCTCGAAGCTGAGTTTCACCAGAATGCGAGTTATGGTGAGAGACAAACAGTGGATTCATTCATTTCCAGCATTGCAGACCACAGTAAGACCAACTTCTATTCTGCACGGTTGACTGTGAGGCAATTAAGCACAGTCCAAAAACCCAACTCGACACCACAAACAGACTGGAGATTACAGATAAGATCAAGAGGAGGAAGAAAGTAGACCACTTGCATTGGAGGGAACCTCTCTTAGACTTGAATCCGCGCTGTAAAAGACGTTAGTTCGGACCTTCAGGCTGTAAAAGCAACACAAAAGCACTTAGGAAAAGAACAAGACATGCACCAGCACATGGCCTTACGAAGCACGCTGAAATTAAAAGCAGTCGTTTCTCGCCAATCAGTGGGCACTGCAGTCCCTATGAGAGAAGGCATGGGAAGAGACCTGCAGATATGACTGGGATTCAATGTTGGTCAAAATTTCTTTACTTCTCGAGTGGATGATACAGATAACAACGAAAGATGTTGCCAGGACTATACCTTAGAGGAACCTAGGATTTGCACTTGAAAGCCCAACTCGAAATCAAACAAGGGCGTGTCTCCATCAAGGTAATCAATCGAGAAGAACTGATAATACGTCCTCCTACTAGAGATATCTTCGGGAGCGTACTGGTGGCACCAACCTAGGACCGCAGGGAGGTACCAATAGCCTGGAAAAGCGGATTCAAAAAGTCGTACATTATGTACCCGATCACCGTTATTCCATAGCGGTAGAGTGACGCTACAAGTAATCCCCATTCTGATGGCATTCACAAGAAGGATGCTCCCACCATAAAGCTCGCAAGATTCTAGCAGCTGTAGATTGAACCCCGATACTTCCGCTTTGCCCGTTGCCACCTTGACTACCTACGCCAAGAGAACTGGCAATCCTGGACAAAACGATTCTACGTCTGAACCTAACCTCGTCCATATGAACAAATTTTCTTCCAATTCCGTGAAGAAAATTGACTTGTAACTGGTCACCCAGTCCGGGCCATCAGCAAAGAATGTTGGCTTGGGATAATATGCTACAATCTCTCAGGTTGCCTGAGCAAAAATTGATACGGAAATCTACCCTACCTTTTTCTTTAATTTCAAATAGCTGCAGAATATGTTCTAAGTGTGTTGTCTTTCATGTATTATGCCGTCACATCCTGGTACGAGAATTCCCCAAGCTTGAGAGGGATGCGGCAGCGTCGAGAAACTCCTCATATTGGACAAACAGACATGAAACAGGTTTAAAGAGGTGGGTAGATGTAGGAACTAAGTGCGAAACACAGAAACAAAAATCCTCCCACGGCAGCAACAGTTCGTTGAGAAATTCTCAAAGCCAAAAGCCGGCCACCAACAACCGCCAACGACGTACAGACGGTATGTCCTATACTTGCACCGATCGTTACTCCAACCGCATTCTTGTGTGAGGCCAACTGCAGAGTAGATAATCATCATAGAGTTGAGAACCATCCAGCTCATTGTTCCATGACATACGCTTAGCAACTGTCAAAATGAGTTCTTCCAAACAGGCACTCGGTGGCTAAGATATCAAATTTAAAATAGATCCCGAAGTGGCCAGAGGTGAACGTACCGCAATGGTAGCGATTTGACTGCGATCGCCCCATTCAGCCAAGAAGGTAAGGATAAATGCCTGATTCCAAACAAATAAAAACATCACATTAGCGTACTTTGTGGCAAACAGGTGCATCTACATAGAGGACACACGCCAGAAAAATTAAGAAAGAGATGCATTTGCAAGACAACAGTGTGCGGCGATGAAGTACCTCAAGGAAAATAGGTGTACAGAATCGAGCCAAGAGGCGCCGAACTGTGCTCTTCTTCTGGGGACCTTCCAGTTTCTCTTCGACCTATCAGAAAATCGCAACAATTCCAAAGCGAGACCAAACCGATCAAGCAAAGAACGATCAGGTTTAAAAAGGAAACTGCAGATTCACTGTCAAGTTATTATCAAGGTATTTTAACGGATGAAATCACCTCCTCCAGTTCCTTTTGAGGTGTGCTGTTCGGATCTGCTTTCCATGCGATGTACAGAAGCCGAGCTCCAAAAAACGTGTAAAGAACTGTCGTTCAGTAGACAACGACCTCCCATCAGTATTCAAATAGGGTGAAGAGAGTTTCCATCACTTCCACAAATATTGCAAATATTGAGTATTAAGTATAGAACGCATCTTCGACCCAACGACTTCATGGATTTTTACATCACCCTCACAACCGAAGCTTGTGTACACGTACCTGTAGCCGCGGCATTGGTGTGCTTGCGAGATATCAAATTGGGGACGATTCTGCCTAGCCCTGTTGAAAGAACCTGGAATGTAGAAGTGCGTATTATTTCCTGGATACAAGTACTAGGGCCCTCTGCCGCCACGAACTCGTGTGGACGACATACGAGCAGATTTATTCATGATCCTTCGAAAATATATACAGTTTTACCGAGCACAGAAAAGGCAGGACTACTCACAGTCATGATAATAAGCGCACTTAGAGCACCGGAGAGAACTATAGCTCGTGGATGTCTCATAGCCATGAGAGCAGCAATGATGAACGTTTCATCACCAATCTGCGCGACACCAAGAACTTAGACATTTTTTCTAGCGGTAAGAACTCACTCCAATCGTGGGCTACTATCACGACAAATGACTTTCTTCAAAATTAAAGCAACAGCGAAACAAAGTAGGTAATTACCTCGCTGACGAGTATGATGGACAAACTAGTAACGAAGGCATCAGACAACCCTTCTTCCATCGGAGGGACTTCGCTAGCCCCATCGTCGGTCGACTCTTTGTTTGTCTCGCTCAACTCCAATTTCTTCTCCTTCACGTCTGGATACTGTAGACAGTTACGGACAAGTCAGGAGAATGCGGTGTTCGAGCACTCAGAGATGGTACAACAGCAGAAATTAGTACAAGTAGAGAATGGACGATGTGTTTCCTGCAAGTTCAAGCCAGGAAGGTTATATATGAATTAAATGCTCAAACCCACGACATGAATTTTCATTCCAAACAGAGAACAAACGCCCGAAGACTCCAGAAATACACGCGATAGCTTGAGAATTTCCACATTTACTGGGGCTAGAAGAATTCTAAAGTGACAACGACGTTATGTCAAGGTAAAAGATGAGCCTCATACAAGAGTCCGACGATTGGCAAGTTCCGCCTGATCGCGCTCCACTTGCTCGAGCTGTGCCGAGTCTTTATTCTACAAAAGATGGAGCAAGCTCAAAGTTAGAAGCCAGATAAATCTTTGAGTGGGCACTTCTTCATAAGGGCAGGCGATAATCCGGTTTGAGCAACTTTCGTAAGTTTGGTGAGAACCGCCTATCTACATCCTGATGGATCAATTTTCCAGCCGCTTATTCATGGAGCCGCTCGCTTACAGATCGATAGACAGCTCTCAGAGCTTTGAAAAAGCGAGTTCATCTGATAATTACTAGAAAATGCACGTGAATAATAGCTTTGGGAGGCCAGTGCTGAGGCGAGTTTGATCAACTCGTCTACGTTAGGAACGAATACGGATGACTATTGCATCCCAAAGAAGGGGAAGGAGGCGAAACCCAACTAGTTCATCGACTGTAACTTTAAGAATGATGAGCAGCAGAACATGCAGGGAGTGTGAACGATACGTATCTCACACTTGACTAACAATCACTGCGTAAAGCCATCATAATAATTCAAAGAAGGACCGGATCTACGGAGACAAGAGAAATTTGCAAACGAATCATGTTCATACAAAAGACTCGATCGCACACGTGAAGTAAACGCCGCCCTCGAAACCCAAACACGATCACCTTTAAAATGGTTCTAATTTTCTTCCGTCAAAGATAAGCGAGGAACGACTGCGAGAAATTCAAATCCTCAAAACAGCACACCCCAAAACCCTAACGATCTGAACATTTGAGTACTTCGTCAGGAATTCGGTGGAGAATGACTGACCTCCTGAGCGTAGCATGCGGTGGGGAGCAGAAGTAAGAGCAAGAAGCACGAAAACGAGGTCGCAGAAGGCAAGGAGAAAATCCTCCGGTTCCCCATTGCGTCCGAAGCAACGGGAAGCTCAGCAAAATCGAGAAGAAAGCAAGAATAGAACGATCTTGGCCACCATAGCCCAGTAATGGTGCCCCCGATCTTCAGCTCCCGCTGCCGCTCCCCCGTGCAGAAGAAGGAGCCGGCCTCTGCTCTCCCAGCGCCCAGGAAGTGAACCCCAAGCGCCTGGGCCCCTGCCCCCACCACGCCTCGCCGCGCCGTCTCCTACGCAGTTGGCCCTGCCTCGCCTCGCCGTCCTACGTAATCACCACTCCGCTGCCCTCTCTAACCAAAGTAGCGACGCCGGACTGCTACTGCGTGAGAAAGTCGACACCCAGTTGGACGGTGGTACCGTACATCTCCTGCCGTCAACGCCTCAGATGCAGTCGGGTTCGAATGGTATACGCTCTTCCTGCAAATAATTTCAAAAAGTGGTGCTTTATTTTTAAGCACAGGCTCTTTTCCTGCCCTTCATTTGAGGAAAACAGGAAGAAAACAAATGTGTTTGACTCGATTCACGCTTTGATGTCATTAATTCCGATGCGGGATTCTCCGGTTTTATAGGAGAGAAATAATTCGTTCAGCGTGGCTGGTGGGCCTGAGCGGGGCATGCCAACAGGGAAAGACGAAGGGCAGGTGCATCGAGCGTGTCGTCGTTGGAATGTCGAGTGGAAATCATGGTCACCTGCTCGCATTTTCCTCGGCCGAGCGGCTTGGGTCGGATTTCTGCAACCACTGCTCCAAGTTATGGTGCAAGCTGCTGGTTCCTGGGTTCTGGGAGCCTCATGGAGATCGAGTTGTCATGCGTAGACGAGTAAAGTCGGCAGTACACAACTCGTCTCAAGTATACAAGAGGTCTGCTACGGTTTGAGAAGTCCAATGTATATTATACAGAATCATATGATTTTTATCATCTTTGGCAAATCAAAAGTGGGTTCCGCTAACTCTCATCTTTATCCAGCAAGGAAAGGATGAATCTGCTCGGATAACCTGACCAGCAAGTGAATATGAGCCTTCATTTTGCACAATATCAAAAGAATATCGTTGAAAGGAACTACTTTGTAAGGAATTAAATTTAGAGATTTCTGCATAGAGTATCCTAGCTGGAGTATGAAAAAAATACTTTTAAATTTTGTGTTTCTTTAGTACATGTTTCCTTCGGTACTGCCGGATCCGCAGGGAGAGCGAGTCTTACCACATCCATGAACGTCACTCGCAGAACTGCGAAGACGATGGTCGTGGACCCGGCGTCGAAGATTCCCCACCGTCGGCAGGCCCGGTGACTCGACGGTGAATCTCCTCGCTGCCGCGGCACACGCGGCCGAGGAACGTCGACGGTCGACCGGCGGATCGTGAGAAGTGATTGTCGTCGGTCTCACGCCACGTGGCACCGCATCGTTCGCCGAGGAGGGCCGCGCCCGATGAACGTCGTGCCTGCCGGGAAATAAACCGACGATCCCGCCGGCAGAGGCTCGCAAAACTCCACCCGGTAGGTCCGAAATTCCTCGAACCCCAACCGCCACCGTCGATGCCGCATCGCCAGCGATCGTGAGAGGGAATCTAAGCCCAAGCCCAAGCCCCGGGGCAAAGCCGGGCCCCGGCTTTGCCCCCGGCACATTCCCCGGCTGCCGGGGCATGTGCCGTGTCCTGGTAGAGAGCGGTAGCAGGAGGTGTCCCTGTCGGGCAGCGGAGTGAAAAGTTACGTCTTGTTAACTTAAAGGTCTGACCTGCAGGCCAAAACAGCGTTCCGTTATGTTATCGTCGGGGCTCTCTTTCATTCCTCCGCTTTGTCCACTCCACAAGCCCCGCACGAGAGAATTGCCCCTCCTGTGCCCGGTACGGTGAGCCAGCGGTTAGATCGAGAGCCGACCGCCATCCGGAGGCCAAACCCGTTGACCGGTATGGGCCGGCGGGAACGAACGGGCGAACGAGACGAACCGAGAAGTTTGGCACTTTTCGTTCCTTCGGCCCCGCTTCTGGTGCCGTTGATTCGAGGGTTGCCGGACGGGCACCGGCTCGACTTCTCCCCTCGCGGGGCCGAATTGCCCGTTCGAGATGTTCGAGCAGTCGTGATTCCGCTTTCTAGGGAAGGAGGTCTAAGCCCTGATTCTGTTCGGGCGTGCTCGTAGAGTCATGGATTAGTCTACAGACGTTCGGGAATTTTGCGATCCAGTGTCTTGCCGAAGCTGGGGAGTTGAAGGTGGAACCGCATTCGGCACCTTGAGATATGCAACTCTGATCATTAACCACTTGTCTGACCACGCAGGGAGCTCATGGTGGCCTCCCTTTTGAGGTTGGGTTTTGAATCGATCGTCGTTTCCCGCCCGGATGTCAAATCGCAGCCCGTCGACGTCACTTGAAGCAGTGGAAGCATTTCGCGGAGCTGCTCCAAATTGTAGCCCAATGTGGAGAGCTGATTTGGGTGATGGCATTGTTGGAGTCGGGGAGTGGTCCGAGCAGAAGTCCGAGGAAGCTTTTGTACGACTTGGTGGAAGCTGTCAGCAGAGGAGAGGCATCGGCTTGGTTTCTGGAACAGGGGGAATCTCGATGGGCTCTGTAAGAACTAGAATTTTAGGACATCTGTCTCTCTTACACTCGACGACGAACTGCGCAGTGAGTGCTGCGGACGGTACCGATTCGATCTATGCCGGAGGTCGGCATTTAACCAGCTGTCAGCTTGTGCTTGTAACCTGTAATATGAACAGGCAGAATCTGTACCATCCGACGAACATTGAATTGAATTCAGCCTCCATTCACCGGATCCGTTTTGCTGGAGATTTTCGCTCAGAATGCGAAGCAATAAGAATCGAGGAACCAGCGTTTAGGGTTTAGGGTTTAAGTCCTCTGCACTTCTTTCGCAGCGAGCATTTTTTCGACCCACCACACACCACAGCCATGAGAAACAGTGCATCGAAGAGTAGTAGAGCGCATTTACACCGAGTCCGTCCTACTCCGTTCAGACTACGCACACCATTCAATTGCCCACATCGACAATCGAGAGCAAGTAACAATGAAGTGCGTAACTTCTCCTACAACGACATCATTCTTGGATTTCTTTCTGGCTCAACACTCTCCGGACTATGACAACTCTCATCAAAGCTTTCCCGTCGTGACATTCGGGCTTGTCCGGAGGATTGAAATTCAGTAGCATCGTCCTGCAGCCAGAGAAAGCCATAACTGTGCAATCAGCCCACAAACATCAAACATCTCCTGATCAAATACTGCGCCATTATATCCCGTCCTGTCCGTCTTCAGGAAGGCCGGAAGAACGTCTGCGTTGGATTATGTTCCTTGTATGTTACAGCAGTGCTCATGCAGGTGAATGTTTATTGGGCCTATCGCTCGGTTCACAGGGTGACCCAATGTTGCTTCAATGCGGACCTCCTTTCGTGGGCGTATTGGGCCAATTCCAGTGTATCCTGCCATCGAATGGATACGACAATGTAATCTTATCTCGGAGAACTCTGGAAAATGTCGGGCTTGGTTCGACAGAAGTGCCGAATTATTTCGGGGCGGACAATTTCGCTTCAAAACCGCACGTCGGAGCAGTTTGCTTTTCTATTTCAAGTAAAAACCGGTATCCATTAATTTTACTGGTACTTTTCGATATGCGCCTTGGTCCGTTGTTGGTCCAAGTCAAGAGCCTTTGCTGCAGATAAAAGGTAAAGCTATTGATGCCGGAGCGACGGTGGAGCCAGATTTGAGGGTGTTCCTGAGACGAGAAATTAGTTCCAAATTCTTCCGATCGACAGCATACCCTAAGCTCCGAGCTGTAAGGGGGAGTGTCGAGTGCGTTAGAAATTGGATCGTTTTCATGGACTGTTATGTTACTCAATGGAGTGCGGAGGGTTCTGCATCATTAAGAGTGTATATATATCTCCGACATAGTGACCGAGAAATAAGCGGTCAGATTTTTGGTGGCAATGGACGGCAGTCTTGGTTTGGACATGTTTTCATGATCAAGTTTTGAGTCGATGTGATGTGACAGGGTCGGCTTTCCCCATACCGAGCACTGTCACAATACACAGTCTCTTCAGTTTGCATATCAACAACTGAAGCAAGCAAAGGAGTTTCCATTGATTAGTTAGTGGTATCTTGTCCCCGCAACATAGTAATGATTTTTCCTTCAAAGAATTTCGTCCCGTCGTTATCTTGTCTCCGTCCAGAGTGCGGGTTTCTTCAGATCAGTGTGTGCAAGGCATGCCTGCAGAATCTTATTCACCGCTGAAATGAATGAACCAGGACAGAGAGAACTTCAAAAAAATCCTGTCATCCAGTGAAAGGCTACAAAATCACCTTTGCTGCGGACGAAGCACTGCATTCCGAGCTGCTACGTCCGAGACACAACACACACGAGCGAGCGAGAGAGAGAGAGAGAGATGTCACAGGCACCAAGTGACGACGGTGTGCACATCCGCTGCGGATCGAGAGGAAGAAGAACGACGACTTCTGCTCCATTTTGCTGCAAACCTACCCGCTCCATGACCGAAGCTCAGTCCAGGAGAAGATGGACCCCGGTCAGCCGAGCGAGCGGTCCGAAGTTCTCGTAATCCATTCGAGGTCACGAACTATTTCTCTCGTGCCACCATTTGCCTCATTGCCTCATTTCCGGGCCCGGCATAAAAAACGATAACAACATCGAGAGGCTTCCTCCACATTGTCTGAGACACTCGATCTCTCGCAGCTGAGCCCGAGATCTCTAAAACGTCCCGACCGCGAGTCGAATCGACATTTATGCGTTGTATCGAGCGAGGCGTGGACATGGATGGGCAGCTACCGATCGATGGCTCCATGGAAGGTGGCGTAGAATCCACGAAGGCATTCGCAGTCCAGGCCTACGCCGAGGGATAAGAGCTGCAGACGAGAGTGGAGACAAGATTTCGACGACCGGATAGTGGCGACTGACCGGCGAGAGAGGCTTGGCAGATGTGGGCCGGATCCGCTGGTCACAGGCATCTGACGGTTTCTGGGAAGGGAAGCCCGAAAGAGTGCAATGCACGGCTTCTTTTCGGGCGTCCGAGTCCACCGCACGGGCGGGGTCCGGTCACCGCCGCGGCTGACTTGGATGGACGGACGGATGGATGCCGACCCGAGTGGCTGGACCGATGGGGCGCGTCGGAAATCGAGCCGTGGCAAATCACAGACGCTCGCGAGCCGATAGCGAAGCCCCATGCAACTTCACGCGAAGGGACGAGCCCCTCGAACGGGGGCTCGTCGGCCGCATCCCCGGCCCCATCGACGGCCGTTATCACCTCCAATGGGGACTGACCGTGCATCACACACTCCGCTGCACTACAGACAGCCGCCACCTGTCACCTCCTGCCACCACCTGCCACCTATCACCTCCCCCCCGAGGTCCAAAACAGAACATTAGCCCCCTCTCGGACTCTCGAGCGCTTCCTGTCCCGGTGAAGAGAGACCAGACCCCCAAGCCCAAGCCCAAGCCCAGGAGACAGCTCAACCGACGAGACTCGCAGGGGAACGAGAAGAGAAAGAAGCTCGTGCGAATTCCGAGCAGCACCGTCGCCAATTCCCTGCGTGGCCGAATTGCTGGCGCCGCGCGGAGTGGGTCTACGATGGCAACGTCGACGATGGTCGTCGCAGCAGGGAGCTGTCTGGGCGCGAGGGTAGCAGCAGCAGCAGCCCCTGCCCCCGCTCCAGCCGTGGGGCTCCCGGGGCTTCGGTTCGCCGCCAACAGCGAGCGCGAGCGCAAGCGCAAGCCCAACATCCTCAAGCTCGAGTCGCAATTCGTACCGGCATTCAACGTATCGATCCGCAGGCGGGGGCAGGGGCTGTCTACGCGGGGGTTGAGGAGTGCGGGGGTTAGGAGCGCGGCATCGGATCCGGAGCAGCTGAGAGCCGCGAGGGAGGACGTGAAGAAGCTGCTGGCGGAGAAGAAGTGCCACCCGATCCTCATCCGGTTGGGGTGGCACGACGCGGGCAGCTACGACAAGAACATCGCGGAATTCCCCCGGCGCGGGGGGGCAAACGGGAGCCTGCGCTTCTCGCCGGAGCTAGGGCACGGTGCCAACGCGGGGCTTATCAATGCCGTGAAGCTGCTGGAGCCCGTGAAGGCGAAGTACGCCGGCATCACGTACGCCGATCTGTTCCAGCTGGCCAGTGCCACGGCCATCGAGGAGCTCGGCGGGCCCAAAATCCCCATGCGCTATGGGCGCGTGGACACCAAGTCGCCGGAGGAGTGCGCCATCGAGGGCAATCTGCCGGACGCCGGCCCGCCCAACCCCGCCGACCACCTGCGCAAGGTGTTCTACCGCATGGGCTTGAACGACCGGGAGATCGTGGCGCTCTCCGGTGCGCACACCGTTGGGCGCTCGCGCCCCGAGCGCAGCGGCTGGGGCAAAAAGGAGACTAAGTACACGACGGGGGCTAATATCGGAGCCCCCGGGGGGCAGTCGTGGACGGCCGAGTGGCTCAAGTTCGACAACTCCTACTTCCGCGACATCAAAGCGCAGAGCGACGAGGATTTGCTCGTGCTCCCGACGGACAAAGTGCTGGCGGAGGACCCGGAATTCAAGAAGTTCACCGACAAGTACGCCGAGGATCAGAACGCCTTCTTCGCCGATTACGCGCTGGCGCACGCGAAGCTGAGCGAGCTCGGGTCCAAGTTCGACCCGGAGGAGGGCATTTTCATCGACCAGGAGGCGCCGCCCAAGAAGGAGCCGGTGGTGGAGAAATTCGTCGCGGCCAAGTACTCCTCCGGCGATCGCCAGAGCGAGCTCTCCGACTCGATGAAAGCCAAGATGCGAGCCGAGTATCTCGCCGTCGGTGGAAGCCCCGACCGACCTCTCGGGTCCAACTACTTCCTCAACATTATCATCGTCATCGCCGTTCTTGCCGTCCTCGCCTCTTTCGCCACGCAATCTTGAGGTGTACATTTCATTATCATCGTCGTCTGTCTGGTCTCGGTCTCGGTCTGGGTCTCTCTGGAGGACATTATCAAAATTGAAGGAGACGTCGTGTGATTCTCTACTAATTTGTAAAATGTGTAGATCTCTGCAAGAGCTATTTTTGTAAAGTAGACAATTGTCCTTCATTTCCCGTCGGCAGACATCTGACCTTCCCAGTCTTGAGGGCATAATCTTTTTCGCGGGATCGTCGGTCGTCTTGTTTCATGAAGCGATGAAGCGAGGACTGTAGAAAAGCCCAAATGCAGGTTTGTAGTCCCTACCGCACTCGGAACGGCTGGTGAGGCATTTCCTGAATTGGGGGAGATTTAGGATGTAATGAAGAGTTGGAGAAAATCGATTTAGCCGGAAATTCAAAGATATTTCAGTGTGTATGTATTTGTAATGAAACAAACTTTCGACTCCTTTGCTTGGTCACATCATTTTCTACAGTTCAATGTATTGAAATATTGGACGCAGTGTTTGTTCGACCCCCGCCCGAAGTTATGGTGAGGACACATCTGAGCCTCCTAGTATGTGTATGTAGGAAATTTTCAGTGCTTCTTCTCTGCTCCAGTAATTCGTTCACCTCAAACTCTTGGCTTCTTGGCCAAATGTTTCCGCTGGTATCGTTGGTTTCTGCATGAAAATTTGTGCTGTTTAGGCTTATCATGCAGACAGGGAGGGACTGGCCATTCTCTTCTCCCGCAATGGTGCTTAGTTCTTGAGCACTCTCTGAGTTTCCCACGAACTGTAGCATGATACACCAACCCATGTTGTCGTTTTGCACCTGTTCATTCTGACTTAACTTTCACAGTCCTCGTCTCGAGGAAGAATACAAAAGATCTAAGATCATTCTGGCCCTGCATTCAGTCCCTACTCATTATGTACACATGCATGTCCTCTGCTTACTACCTCCGGGTCTTAAAACTCCGAGCTCTCTGTAGTGTTCGTAGAAGCTGATTCCTTGTACCATACGCTGAATGCATTCAACCATCATTTGTTTGGTACCAACATGACATTTTCATTAAGCTCCAGTCCAATAGGTCCATGCCAGTGGAGTTGATGTAAGGTTGCTGTATAATAATTTCAAATTCAGAGTAACCTCGCCCAGCTGATAGATTGCCTTGGATCATTGAAGGGTTCGATTCCAAGTTTGGTGTCTTTTCCATGTTCAACGTTGTTGATAATAGTCGCTGGTGTTGAAGTTCTTATATACCTGAACGAAGTTAACATGACACTCTGAGTTTTTTTTTCCCGTTTCTGGAATTGTTGCAAGAAAGTAATAACCGAGCGTGTCAAGCACACGTTAAGAATTATCCTTTTCTGCTACAACTGACTTAAGGCATGTGATGAGTGGAAAGTCCACTTAAATATACCCAAGTTTGTATTTTTGACAAACTAACTCTCGAGTACATCTGAAGTTTCCCGGGAATAACTTTCTCGATTGCTTTAGAACGTCTTGTAGAGTTAAAGTGGCCGCTCTCTGGTCTTGGTTTTCAGTTTTTAATTGCACACGTCCTACAACCAGTATTGAGAGCGGAACATGTATTTCCTGAACACTGTTCCCTGATCTTCGGATATATGGTAGTCCACATATGGACCTTGAGCCGAGAACTCCTTTACTCGAAATGATCTTTTGTTTACATATTTAATAACCCTTAGAAATTTTCTTGAGAGCTTCTCTGACAGCAAGAACTTCTTATGAAGTGCAGTCTCTATGTTCTTTACACAAACATCGAGATCATATGGTTAGCCATCAACATGACGTTACTTTTCTGAGGCTGGTGTGAAAGTTCCATTTTTAGCTTGTAACTTACATATGTAACCTTCAAACTATCTATCGTGATAGCTTTGTTGAGTACATCTCCATCGAGTACTTCATTGAGTACATCTGTATCGTGCTCAAATCTCCTAACATCTGGAGACCTTATGCTTTTTGCGGATACTACACATCAAAGTAACTGGCTTTCGAGTGTCTCTTGCAGTTTGAAGTGGTCTTGATAGTGGTTCGTTTGTGTATGTTGGTTTGAAAACTAGTTTTACATTATGTTTCAGGGCTAAATTTTTCCAATTCGTTCAACCCTTGACCTTTCCCATGCGCCACCTTTAGATCTGGATTGAACATTTTTTGGGATTTGGATGTATCTTGGCTCACCTCGGCTCCGGATATATCCACCAACAAAACACTCCTTAGGATATGTTTACACTAATGGATTTTTAAGGATGGATAAATTATGAGCTTGAGTCTATTTAGTGGTATGTTTATAGTGAAGCCTTCTAAGAAAAAAGCTCTCCAAGCTGCACTCTATGTTCAGCCCATGTGGTGTTTAGTTTCGAGCTGCATCCCAGACTAATGACTTGTGAAATAGGTGAAGATATTTCGAAGAATTTTGTGTGTTGAGCTGATCTTTTTGACTCTCTTGTAGCATTTTCAATGAATCAGATCCAAATTTGAGAGTAGAATATGCACAGATAGATACTCATTAATTTGCACCAAAACCATCAAATCTACTTTCAGTCTCCATGATGACTCACATCGTTATGTGATATCAACTAAACACAATTATAGATTAAACTTACTCAAGTCAAACCATTTGACTTCAAGCTCTTAGTCTATATTGCAAAATCAAAGTCGATCTCCAATTTGCTTATTAACTATCTTGTACTTGGTATTTACCATGGTGAGTCACTATGTTATAGTCACTCTCGTGATCGCGAGTAGCGACCACGAGAGGTACTAGCACCTCTTAATCTTTCTCCGCGCATCTAATTCAAAGAGGCTACTCTATTCTGAAAATAATGATAGTGCGAATTGTCTTTATCTAGATTGATTGATCTCAACTGGAGCTAAAATTTCTGTCTCATTAATAATGTGTAGTTGAAAATAGACACAAGACATGGGGATAAATTTTTCGAAACAATACATGTTATGTTTGGATTCTAAATAATAATCTCATCTTTTCCCAATTATCTCATATCATTATTGTGATAATCTAAATATTAATAAGGTTAAAGCGTCGTCAAGAAAAGACCACTGGGGAGCGAGTATACAGAAAATCCGTTTGGGATATTCTTTTGTAATATATACATATAATCTTACATGTATAATTACATATGTAGATAAATTTTTTGAATTAATATTATATTTTTTAAAAATAAAAAATATCATTATATTATTTTTTATTTATATATTATTTTTCTTTAAAATTTTTTGGAATTTAAAAGTGCATGTTCTTAGATATGAAAATACGCCAATAATTAATGGTTTTTCTTCTAGATATTTTGGTCCTGAATAAATAATGTTTTATGATGTTTATGATATTATTTTAAAACTAATCATTCTTTTGACTTCAAAATCTATAAAATAGTTTATGATTTTTTGAAAAAAAATACTTTTACAAGACAATTACATTTTTACATATCTTGCAAGACGTTTTTAAAAATTTCTTATTTTTTCTTCATGACAAACTATGAAAAACAAATCTCTCTTGTAAAAATAACTGGTATTGTTAGGTAGCTGGGAAGCTTCTAGACTTCCTCTATTTGTTTATTACTGGAGATTAGTAATTCGATAGTTTCCCACCGTTTTCACGTCGTTGAGAGGAGGTTTTTTTGCAAGCCTGGTTGGTAATGCACGTCTTCGAGGTCTACTCAGATACCCTGAAGTCCGATAGCTCTCCGGCTTGGTCCGCACATCATCACCAACTACGGACCAAGCTTCGACCACACTGACGTGTGCTGCTACTTCTTCTTCTCTCGGTGGAGCAAACACAAGACGTTGAAAGAAGGGGGAGAAAAAGACAGAGAGAGTGGCAGAGGAAAACTCTCTCTGGGAGAGGATAAAGCATTGGCTCTATTGCACGGATAGCGGAAGGGGCAGCTGGTACTCCTACTCCGCGTCTGGCTCTGTTTTTTATGTCTGTCCTTGATCGTCAGGTCTCCGAGTCTATGCGAGTTGAAAACTCGATGCATGCGTTTGAAAGAGGTGGTAAACTTACGAGTACTCGAGTACTCCGAGTCGGGAGAAGACAAGTAGTGAGTGAGTGAGTTCGCTCGCTCGCAAAGTTGGTTCACTTCATAGGAAAAACTCTCCACCAATTCCATCTTTACACTTGCGAACGCTTCCTAAACGTCCTAGTGTTTCCGATGATAGGAATCTCACAGTATTTATATTATCTAAGTTTTATTCCATTCTTCTTGTTCTGCTATCATACTGAACTCATTCTCAACCATGCACCTCGTTCTGCCTCAACATTGGTATCTCTAGCCTATCCAGGCTCCATTGCTATTGAAATTTCACACAATCGAGTAATTTCTCTATCTATCTCTCTCTCCCGTCCTCCTTTTCTCTCCTAGTCTTTCGAATTCTACTCTCACTGTATGGCCAAGTTTAACTGCAGATATTAAACATACACATCTGCAACTTCATGAGCTTCTAGATTCTCATATGAATGCGCTTCTAGGTATTCTTTCGAGTGCATTTATAGTAGTAATAGTGTCAGAGGTAGGAGTAGAGGTGGCAGTGGGCCACGAGAAGAAGAAGTTGTTAGCACCTCTTGCGAGAGATTGATCGCATATGTCCACATAAAACTTACCTTCAGGGGAGAATGGTAAGTTGTGAGCCACCAAAAACGCAAATTTGCTCTTAGGTACAGTAGTTCACGTAAAGCGAGCGGCCATCAGCAAGAGCCTCTCTTCTATGTGGTCAGTGTTTGAAGAAGAAACATGACTATTCGTCTGTCTGCCGGCATGAAGGATGAAGACCTAGAGTCGTTCTTGAGAAACTACAAAAGAGTCTGCATAAGCACATGAGTACATTTCTTAAAGTGAAGGCATCTCAATGGTATGAGCGACCATCTGATAATACCAAGTACTCTTGGGAACATATGAGTATAGGTTTAGTTAGAGAATTTGAAAGAAAATATTCATATGAAGTACTCGTTTCTGAGCTAAGTTAAATGAAGCAGATGTTAGGGGAAGAGGTGAAAGATTATATTGATAGAGTACAAAATCTGTCAGATAGATTAAAAAGAAGTTTGCGTGCCCAATGTCATATAGTTGATAATCCAATCTTTGAGGGAATAAAAGCGCTAGTGATGAAACATGTCATGATTGTTACCTCAACTGCCGCAACAAGTTAAATATGAGGGTGTAGATATTTTCAAACAAGTTACTTGTATTGCACAAAAGAAGTAGTCAAGCTTGGAAACAATAGCAATAGTGCCTCAAACCACTGTGAGAGAAAGTTCTCGTAAGCCATTGGAGGGTTTTTACTCGTCAGTAATATTACCTCGGCCCACTGAGAGAACTTCACGGATGGAGGTTGCTATGGAACAACTAGTGTCTCAAATGACACAACTGACTGTTCATCTCCTTCATTCTAGAAGCTTTCGCGGTGCAAAGCATGACTCGAACAAGATACATTG